TCTAGGTTATATCCATGAATGGTCCTTGGTTGTACTTTTCATCTCAGAAAAGACCCCTGTGCCCAGATATTTTGGTTCTGTAGCTCTCCTTGTGGCACTCCTGTCTTCTCCAGGTCTCACTACCTCACCCTTCTTTCATATGATTCCCTAGATTCTGCCCAAGGATTGGTTATGAGTCTCAGCATCTGCTTTGATACACTGCTATGTAGAGTCTTTCAGAGGCCCTCTGTGGTAGGCTCCTGTCCTGTTACTTGTTTTCTCTTACTTCCAACATCCATCCCATTTGTCTTTCTAAGTAAGGGTTGATCATCTTACCACGGGACCTCCTTCTTGTTTAGCTTCTTTAGATGTACAGATTTTAGTATGTTTATCCTATCTTATAGGTCTAGTATCCACTTGTAAGTGAGTATATACCATGTGTGTCTTTCTGCTTCTGGGATACCTCACTCAGTTAGAGCCTGTGCTGTTGGTATTCTGTTCAGGAAGTTGTCTCCTGTGCCAATGAGTAAGACTCTTCTCCAATGTTTCTTCTAACCGATTTAGTGTGTCTGGTTTTATGTTGAGGTCTTTGATCCACTTGGACTTTAGTCTTGTTCAGAGTGATAAATATGGATCTATTTGCATTTTCTACATGTAGACATTCAGTTTGTTGAAGATACTGTCTTTTTTCCATTGTATGGTTTTGGCTTCTTTGTCCAGTATACATAGGCGTGTGGGTTTGTGCTGGAGAGGTTGTGGAGAAAGGGGAACCCTCCTCCTCTGCTGGTGGGAATGTAAACTTGTACAACCACTTTGGAAATCAATGAGGTACTTTCTCAATTAGGAAAAGTGTTTCGTCAGTGTTTAGATTCAGCTAAACCACTCCTAGGCATATATCGAAAATATGTTCAAGTACAAAAACAAGGACATTTGCTCAACCATGTTCCTAGCAGCTTTATTCATAATAGCCAGAATCTGGAAACGACCCATATGCCCCTCATTTGAGGAATGGATACAGAAATTGTGGTACATTTATATAATGGATTACTACTCAGCAGTTAAAAACAAGGAAATCATGAAATTTGCAGCCAAATGGGATCTAGAAAGGTATCCTAGAAGCAGAAAGACACACACGGAATATACATACTCACTTATTAGTGGATATTAGACATATAATGTAGGATAAACATACTAAAATATGTACACCTAAAGAAGCTAAGCAAGAAAGAGGACCCTTGGTAAGATGATCAATCCTCACTAAGAAAGAAAAAGGGGATGGGTATTGGAAGAAGGAGAAAACAGGAAACAGGACAGGAGCCTACCACAGAGAGCCTTTGAAAGACTCTACCCAGCAGTGTATGAAAGCAGATGCTGAGACTCATAACCAAATTTTGGGCAAAGTGTAGGGAATCTTATGAAAGAAGGGGGAGATAGAAAGACCTGGAGAGGACAGAAGCTTCACAAGAAGAGCTACAGAACCAAAATGTCTGGGCACAGGGGTCTTTTCTGAGATGAATAGTACAACCAAGGACCATTCATGGATATAACCTAGAACCCCTGCACAGATGTAGCCCATGGCAGCTTAGCATTCAACTGGGTTTCCTAGTAAGGGGAACAGGGACTGTCTCTGACATGAACTCAGTGGATGGCTCTTTGATCACCTCCCCTCTAAGGGGAAGCAGCCTTGCCAGGCCACAGAGGAGGACAATGCAACTAATCCTGATGAGAGTTGGTAAGCTAGGGTCAGATGGAAGGGGAGGAGGACCTACCCTATCAGTGGACTTGAAGAGGGGCATAGGAGGAGATGAGGGAGGGACGGTGGGATTGGGAGGACATGAGGGAGGGGGCTACAGTGGGATACAAAGTGAATAAACTTTAATTTATATAAAAATAAAAATTAAATAAAAGAATCAATAAATGGGACCTCCTGAAACTGAAAAGCTTCTATAAAGCAAAGGACACTGTCATCAGAACAAAATGACAGTCTACAGACTGAGAAAAGATCTTCACCAACCCTATATCTGACAGAGGGCTGATAATCAGAATTTATAAAGAACTAAAGAAGTTAAAAAGCAACAAATCAAGTTATCCAATTAAAATATGGGGTACAGAGCTAAACAGAGAATTCTCTGTAGAGGAATATAGAATGGCAGAGAAACACTTAAAGAAATGTTCAACGTCCTTAGTCATCAGTGAAATGCAAATTAAAAGGACCCTGAGATTTCACCTTACAGCCTTCAGGATGGCTAAGATCAAAAACTCAAGTAAGTTATCTTCTTATTGATGTCACATCGATGTTCCCATTGAGTGTTTTCCCTGCCTTCTGAGGCTCTAACAACTATTATTGAAATGTATATGCTTACATTATCAGTTTTTAGCCTGTACTTACAGGTGTGAACGTACAGGATTGTCTAGTTATGCTTGAATTGAGTGAGTTTTATAGTGTAAGTGAACTCAATAGATATGTTTGGTGCTTGTATTTATAGTTGGAGACACGTCTCTAGCAAATCGCATATTTGGAGAATATCCAGAATGTCAGAAACCTCTGTTGCAGAACACAGGGCAGGGGCAGGAGTGTCTTTGGAGAGACAGGACCAGGACACAGAGCAACAGCTAAAAGCATCAGGGAAAGAATGAGTGTGCTAGATCTGGGGGAAGGTCATGACTTCAGTCAAGAAGGAAGTGCGGTCAGCAGTAGCAGCCTAGGCTCCAGAGAGCGGCAAACTTCAGAGTGTTCCAATTGACTGTACAGAAACAAGGAAATGAGTGTATAAGGAGTCTCAGGTATGGTCGGGAGAGATGCATGATACAATAATTAAACAACCAAGTCCAAATAGAAATGTTTATTAATTATTCTTCCTAATTTTGAGTTCCTGATCGTCTTTGGCTATAGCATTTAAGCATGATTGTTACATCTGACATTGGGCGTCTTACAAATAAATGTAAATAGAGTCACAAGTTTTCTATTTTTTATGTTTCTTGGTGACACAGCTTTGTTTATTTTTGTTAAAGTTGTTTTGTTTTGAGACAAGTTGTTACTATGTATTCCTACCTGGCCTGGAACTTGCTATGTGTAGGAGGCTAGCGGTTAATTTGTAACTATTCCACTGCTCCTGTATGACCCCCATGCCACTATCATACCCAAGTTTATCTTCTGCTATTTAATGTTTGCAAAGGAACAAGGTCCTCCTGGAAACAGATGTTCTGCAAAGCAATGGGAAGATGTCTGGGTAGAAATGGGGAGCTAGACTTTTGCTTTGCCAATGACCTACTTTGTTAACTTGGAAAAAAATAACTTGACCTCTTTGAACCTTATTTTCTTTTAATCTGCAAAGATCAAAGCGACCTTATCTAGCTCCAGTGGTTGTTGATTGAGTTTATCAGTGAATTCAAGTGTAGCTTGGTTGATGATTTTCTTGTCCAGCTGTTTAAATAAATGTTAAGCGTAGACTCTAAATATTACTTTTGTTATTAGTGAAGTGTTTTCACATACTCAAGAGAGAAAAGGAACACAAATAGCATCAAATATGCTCTGATGATACAAACATTAGATTGTCTGATGTAACAGTAACAAAGGTGTGTATAATAATACCATGTTTCAGTGAGTCTAAAAGACTATTCATCTTAAACCTCTCCCTTTTGCAGAGATGTCAGAATTATCAACTCACCTTAGATTTGATGACTATAGTAGGAAAGTTGCGAGGTCAGCTCTTCATCAGTGAAGTACTGAATAATTTGCATCCTGGTTGGTCTGGGTAGATCAACCAGGCCCATGCTAGGGCTGCCTGTGGACAAGCCAGCACTGTACGATCTGCTGTAACTGACTGAGTGTGTCTCTTAGTGAATCTGTGTTGGGATTTGAGAGTTCTGCCCCAAATGGCATTTCAGCGAACACATGCCTTCTCTTATCCTCTCAGATAGCCATTCTTTCTTGTATCACAAAGGGCTGTGCACAGATATCTAATACTTAGAGCATAAAGCTTAACACATTTTGTTGTAAAAATTTTCTTTCCTTTTGGCTGATTTAAAGCTACTAAGGCTTCCACGTTCCCTAAACTTCTTAATATATATATATATATATATATATATATATATATACACATATATAATGTATATATACACACATATATGTATATATAAATGTATATATACATATATACACATATATATGTATATGCATATATATAGACATATGTATATAATATTATACTGCCTAGAATGAAGCAAACATTTGGTTAGAAACTAGTAATGCTCTTTTTGGATTACAGAATGCTGTTTTTAGAGTAGTCATGTTTTACTCATAATGAAGAAAATGATTTAATGTGAATTTTTTAAGATTTAGCTTAAGTATATTATACATATATATGAAAATGTCTCAGTGAAATCTGTTATTTATATGTAATTAATATGTGCTAATTAAAACAGAAAAAATAGCTGTCAAGTTGCAAGATTATTTCATAAGCATTAAAAAAATAGCTCATGATTTAGGGGCACAGCTTATTAGCATAAGAAAAGATTTTACTATATTACATGTCCATCATCAAATCTTTAGAGAAGAGACATCAAGGGAGAATCTTAGGCACTTAGCCCCAACACTGAAATTGGCTCTGACTTTGGTTAGTTTCTGCATCTCTCTATGGCATAATTTCCCAATTAAAAAAATTATAATTAATTAGGGAAACTGACAATGTTACTGTAAGAATGAAGTCATACACAGTTTGTGAAATTCCCGACTCTTGACACGTAGTGCTAGGAGGAAGTAAAGGTTGTCTGTGATTCGTTCTTATCTGAGCATGCGTCAGTAGTTGTCAAGGAATTAAGGACTATTGCAGGTATAATACTGATTTCCTGTTTTGCATATCTTCCAAGAGTAATATTTTTAAAGGTAATGTTATAATCTGGGAAGCAGCTTCCTTATTACTCTTGGCTATCAGCTCTATATAAGTCCTTCCTTTCTTAAGGATTCTCATTCTTTCCTCTTTGGGAACTCTCTACTTGCTAAAACTGCATTTCCCTCCTTTTTCAGTGGATTGGTTGGTCCTTTTCCCAATGGACAATTTAGCATTTGAGGTGCAAGAAGATGGAACACAGAGAGCTTCATCTATGGGAAAGATCAGTTCCCTCTCCAATGTGGTAAGATTTGCATGCTGGGGTTCTGTGCCCTGACTTGTGCAGAGCTCAGGAAAGGGTCCCTCTGCGACCAGAGCTCTCAGTGACAGCCTCTTCTCATTGCTGCTCTGTCTTTTCTCAGAGAGTCTTAGCTACTGCTTTAAGAATCTTAAATTCTAGCTCTTCAATGGCCAAATCGTTGCTCACAGTAACTGCCTCACACAGGCAAGATTTTAATACATTCTGATCAGTTAACTTCAAGCAAATCAAAGGAGAAGTTTTTTTTTTTTTTTTTTTTTTAAGATTCTTTTTGTTTGGTGGGCTGTTCATTGGTGTTTACATTGTTGCTTTTCTCTAAAGATCTGAGCAGGCAGTATAAAAACCTGTTCTATTTTCTATGTATAGGGAGCTTGACAAACTCCAGGTTGCATCCACTAGTCATGATATGCACATAGTGTGTAGGAATAGCACTTTAACATTGGTAGAATAACAAATATTATTTGGGAAGTTTTTGTTTAAATGATGTTGCATGTGTGTATTATGTAAGACATAAATGTCTTATACTAGATAAGTATAACAATATATTTTTTAGTGTGGATGTGGTTTTAAAAAGGCCAAAAAGCACTAAATGTTTTATGTTCTGATCATTTCCTGATTCCACATCAATAGATAAGACATACTCTTTCCAGAAAGAAGGCAATGTTTTCATTTTGTCACAAGTGGAGAATAATGGCTTCAAACTTCTTCCTAGGCCAAGAAGAGGCAGTGGTCACTGGTGAGCATCTTCCTGCTGTGCTTGCTGGCCTGCTTCCTTACCACAGCGCTTGGAGTACTTACTCTCTCCTTGGTTTACGTTAACTCCAAGCCTCACTTTGAGCTGGAAGTGTCTCCTCTGCACACGGCGGCTCCCCCAGTACAAAAGTCTGTTGACCCAAAATTTCAATTTCTTAATCATTTGCCCAAATCCAAGGTATGAATAACGATTATTTAAAAACTGTTTTCTACGTGATGATTTTAAAACTACATTTACACCTCCCGTTTTTTAACTGTTCGCCCATGGGAAGGACCAGTGAGGAGATGGGGAATAGAGGGGTTGGGGATTGGGTTGTTGTTGGTGTCAGGCAGAAAATTTCAGTAGTTCATTCTATGCTCTAGTTAGAGAAGAGAAATGCCAGGTTGTAAATGGAAATCTTTCTGCTTTTTTGTCAAGATAAGATTTTATGTGGTGTGGTGTGGTGGTAGTGGTGGTGGTGGTTGTGTGTGTGTGTGTGTGTGTGTGTGTGTGTGTGTGTGTGTGTGAGATAGGATTAGGCTGATGGCATGGCATATACCACTGTTAGAATTCCTAGACTCTCACAGGAGTGCCGTTCCTTCTGTCATGCCCTAAAATTCACTCCACCTCCCTTTTCCACTTTGCCTCCTCTGTGGAACATGGTGGGCTCACACCCTTTATGTATGGAAGCATAGACGATGGCCTCAATGCTGATGATTGCTTGCTTATGGTTTTTTAGGTGTTTGAGTTCCCTGGTGGTGTAATCCAGTGGGCAAGGTACAGGGACAACATCAAAGACTATCTCAGTGAAGAAGAGGAGGCTTTTGGCACCAGCTTGAACAGCCTAAGGTCACAGATGACTCTGGGGACACTGAGAATAAAAAGCAAGGGTCTCCGGGCTCCTCACTGGCACTTCAATGCCAACGAACACGGCTTCCTCGTGCAGGTAGGAGCAGGGTGCCCTCTGTCCTCTCTGAAGCGTCTACACCATCTATATTCTCTGAGTGTTGCTTTAGTTGTCAAAAAGTCCCCCATTTGCATGCTGGACAAGCGCTCAGGCTTTGAGTTGGGCTAGCTATGTTAGAGAACTTGCCATCACTTTGAACATTTTTCTTCAGTATGAAGTCATTCTGGAAAAAGTTGTTGTTAAAATAAAATCAGAGTTGAATTTTTCTATAAATTTTGAGACCTCTCTAAGATTTTCTTTAATATTTTAAGTGAATAATTTTATACGACTATTATTCAAGTACGTGTTCTTATTTAATACTGTTTTCATATTTATAATTTTTTTTAACTCAGCAAAGAATGAAAGTATTGAGTGACTGGCTGAATAAGCAATATACACTAATATCCCAAAATAAATGTTCGCTGTAAACATGATACAAATTTTAATTTCAATATATGATACTATATTACACAATAAATTTTGCTAAAGCTTAAAAATAATGAAATAAAATCACTCTTTAGCCCCCTGGGCCAAGGCTGAATTAGAAGTCTGATATAAAGCTCGAAGAAGTGGCAGCAGCAGCTGGAATAGCAGACGAGGATGCTGAGGCTCCGCATGGTTTCAAGATCAGGCCATTGAATGAGCTTGTGTACTTTAGACCTTCCAGAAGGTCTCAGTTCAAGTGAAACAGATAACATCGAGGTGAAATGGCTGTAGATACTATAGTTTTAGATTATTCTCTTCCAAAAGGCACCATCAGGCACCCCTTGTCTTCCTGACGTGAGGAAGCAATAACGACTAGACCTTTTAGAACTTCCCTGGTTTTGTCTGATCCTATTATCGGTTTAGCCAATGAACAGCCAGTTTCACCTTGTACTTTTCTGTGGCTAACACCCCCTTTGTCCATTACTTCAGCTTTGCTAGAGGGGGGATGTCTGTTGCTGTGATAGAACACCTTGACTGGAGTAATACAAACACCCAGGATTTAATGAGATTCGTTACATTACTTAATAGCATCCTCACACATCAGCTCATTTTCGTTTCATATTAGAAGACTTCAAGTATGACGTAGTATGGACAAAAAAAATATAGACCTTGGAGCTTGCTTGTCTGTGTCTAAATCTCACTTTTTGTCATTGGCTAGCTAAAGTAACTTCAGGAAAATGTATATTCTCAACCAAGCTCAGTTTTCTCCCTACATAAGGATAGTCACAGTACTACTTTTCATGTTTAATATAAGAGATAATTAAATTTAACCAAGTGAAGTGCTTAGGTAGCTACCTGACATAATAAAAGTATTGAGTGCATGCTATCGTATTTTCTTTATTATTAAAATTATCTATAGGTATTTTCTTATTTGGATTATACATGTATCGGTGCATACTGCCCCCCCCCATACACAAAGTGCACATACAAATGTATGTGCTCGTGTAACGACCTGTGAGCAGCCCAGATCCTGCACATATTGCTTCAGTTCCCTAGAACATGTTCTAGACATGTTTAAACAGTTCTAAAACGTGGAATCTTAGTGGGAGTCATATTGCCCTCAAGGAGAAAAAAATGGTGGGAGTGTGCGCGCGCGCGCACACACACACACACACACACACACACACACACAGAGTATGTAATAACTATTGTATTAAAATTTTATAAGGTAATGGAAAGAAAAGTGTTCAAAAACTAAGTTTACAAAAGGATGATAAAGATAGATAGAAAACCATTGCCCTAAGTGAAACTACGGCTCTTATGTCTTAGGGGACGGCGTGGATCGGGGTGGTTGATGATGGCGGTGAGGTCGCTATCACTTACAATGTCACAGCTGGCCAGGTGATCTTCTTTCCTAAAAATACGCTCCATTGGATAAAGAATGTGGGCCATGAAGACTGCTTCTTCTTGCTCTTCTTTTCTACCCACGATGAGCTACAGACTCTGGATGTCGATGATGTGTTTTTTTCTACACCTGAAGACATTGCTTCCAGGTCACTTAAGGTAGGTAATGTTTGGAAGAATCATCATGACAAGAAGTACTACACAGCCACATCAAAACTATGAATATCAGTGTTTCTAAAATCTAACAATTGTCATAGGCCCACCTGTTGACTGGCAGAGATATTGACAATTGAATAACACAAAAATATATCTTCTATTCCTACTAATGATCAAAGTTTAAGTTGTGTATCTTTTGGTTTTCATTTATGAATATCCTCCATATGAAATTATAACGTGTTGGAAGTAATACTACGATATAATCAATGGAATATTATGGCCCCAAAGACTCAAAAGATCACTCATTTTTTCTGTGGGGAAAAAGTCTGCTGCATATGATGGAATCACATTTTCTTAATTTTCAGCAGAGGATTCTGCTTCCTGAATTACTGACACTTTAATACAAATCTTTAAAATTGTTAATTATAAATGAGATACCAAGGTGTTTCAATGCATGTATATATACACAATATGACATTAATCAGGCTAAATGTATCTTTTTCCTCGAGCATGTATCCTTTCTAGTGGAAGCTCTTTTCTCCTAACCTTTGAAAGCACATCGTGTATTATTACTCCATAGTATGCTATTACAGCAATATGATTACACAGTATCACTTTTGCTTCTGGAAATTAGTTCTACAGCCACCATCTGATCTCTCCAGACACTTATTTACATCACCGCAGGAGAACAGTGGATAGTGTTGGTTGTAGAATATCAGGCGTGGACGCTCCCAATGCTAATACGGGAGAACTGGTCTGTAGCGAGCAGCTGGAGAAGGTTCAGCAGAGGCATTGGAATCTGCATAGCAAACTTGTGAGACTACCTTTCAGTGGAGTCCACTATTCTACTGCCCTAGAGAGAGGTGAAAGAAATGGTTTTTAGGGAGAATATTGATGAACATGGGGAACAATGAATACTTTGTATTGTTAATTTATATCAGCCACCTAAAACCAACCATTTGAAACCAGAATGCATTGAAAGCTTTCATAACTATTACCAATCATTCTCTTGGGCCAACGAAAACCCATTGTTGCTAATGCCCCTGTACTCTCTGCCACTTACTTTTCTGTCACTGAAATTTGTTGAGTGTTTCATAGCCATACAGGTAATTTCTGATTGTGTTTCAGCCTGAAGGTGGAATCAATTTCATTAGAAAATTCCAGAAGCAAACTGAGGACCAGGGGGTCAACCTTCCTCCCAACTTGGCAGAACTGGTTATGAATGCTAGTTACGTACAGTCTCCTGACAGCCTTGTGTGGAGATACTTTTTTGACCTTAAAGGTGTGGTATATTTCATAAAGGTTTTTGGTCAAGTTTTCTTTATATGTGGTTATGTATTTTTTGCTTAGAATGTATTTTTTATGGTGGGCCATTGGCAAGAGAAATTTGAGAACAAAACAAAAATACCGTAATTTTCAGTAGAGTGGGTTAGGTGGGGGAAAGTCCTTTATTCAAAAGTGGATGTGACAAAGGAATGGGTTTGTGGTAGAGCTGGGAAAGGCTGCAAGAACAGAAGCTGATGGCAGAGGACGTTCCCAACCATGTAGGGTTTAGAAGTCATATCAAGTAGTTTGTTTTCTATCATAGAGGGATAAAAGCGAGGCTGAAGATTTTAAATAAGAACGACGCCGTGAAATTTCCTTTGTGAAGTAAATACCTAGCTTGCTTACTTGTAGGGAATGATTAAAATAGGCCATATGTGCCATGGACCAGCCTAGTCGGGCTCCCGTCGTCCGCGGGAAAACAAGGCTTTGGACAGAAAGACATGGTTTCGGCGAAGAATTGACAGACAGAGACACCTTGATGGTTTTGACTCTGCTGCAACTTTACTGAAATCAAGCTAGTATTTTTATACAAAAGGCACCTTAAAATTGGCATACTTCCCAGAACATTCAGACTTTTACCAAGAATACAAAGTTTACATTTTAACTCAAAATGCAGTCAAACATAAAGCAGTACCCACAAGTAATCTTGGCCTAAAAACTTTTTGATCAGAGCAAACAAAAGAAAGAAACCTCAAATATAGTTTTATTATTGCTAACCAATGAAGAGGAAAGTCAGGAGCTAAGTCAGATGCCTGCCAAAGTCCCTCTCTATATCAAAATCTAACTACACCTTTGTTAACCATCCTCCCATATGTCCTGCTTAAGATTTATGATCTTCCCCAGGAACAAGGTACTGAAGGGAGGGGAAACTCCCACCAGCTGCACCTCTCATGCTATTATTTCTTAAAAAGGAGCCTATTATTTTTTCACTATTCTTAATGCCTATTAATACTAAATCTAATTCATTACTTTTCTTAAGCTTATTATTTTTATTAAAGCCTTTAACAATCTACTAATGATAAATTTCTTTATAAAATTAGTTGTGCTGTTTCAGGAGTCACAGAGAAAGATCAAAGAATTCATTAATCCAGCCCCAGAGCCACACTGAAAAAGCGTAGAAATCTCAGAATACGTCTCTTTTCCAAGTGGGATGAGTCTGCCAGGGACCTTCCAGGGAGCGAATTTCCGAAGAAAGCATATCTTCCATCCTGTAGCTTATGCTACTATGGCGACACTGGCGTAGGTGTAGCACATATGGGAGAAGGGGATGATAGAGATGCGAGAGTTGAATGGCTTCAAGGGTGACAGATTTTTGTTTGGGGTAACTACCAAGTTTTCTACCAAGTTCCCTAAATTGAATGAAGAACACTAGAATTCTCTGTGTTAGAAATTTCAAGAGCGTTTGGGAGGTTGAAGACAATCTAACTGTGCCTGCCGAGGGCCCATATGGCCTGGGGTCAGTAGTTCACACTATGTAAGTTTCCTGTAAGAGCTTTGTGTTTACTGGGTGTCCACTGACGCTCGGTTTTGAAGTCTTTGTTACAAATTTTTTTTTACTTTATCTGATTCAGGATCAAAAGAATATAAATTTCCAGGGGGAGTCATCCAACGAGCACAGTACTGGAAGAATGGAAATGAACTAAGCAACAATGAAAAAATTTTCAATGAATTTCTACATCAGGTAGCTGAGGAAAAAACTTTTTTTGTTATCATTAAACAACATTATAAGTTTTATCTTTTATGTTAATATGTTTCCTTTTTCTTTTTTGAAATAAAAGTATAATTACATTGTTTTCTCCTTTTCCTCTCCTCCCTCCAGTCCTTCCCATGCATACTTACCTTGCTCTCTCTCAAATTCATATCCTCTGTTTTTAAATTATATTTGTGTTATCAGATTCCTTGTGTTCACATTCCTTCCTGCCACTTCTTTACTGTGTGACTCTAGGAAACTGACTTAGATGTTTTACTCATCACCTATGAAGTAGGGAGAATGATGCAACCTTGAAAGATTGTTGTGAGGAGTAAGAAATGTAATACCTAAAAAGATACCTAAAAATGGCAGATATTTTCAGAGATGCATAAATATTAGGTATTTTATGATATTGTGAATTGTTGAGTTGCTGAGCAGGATGTTGTTGGCTAAATAACTGTCTTTTCTCCTTTTCTTTTGACAGCATCAAAATGTTCTCGCTTTGAATACACTCAGGATTTATAATAATGGATTAAGGCAGCCACATTTTCATCTCAATGCAAATGAAATGGGATATGTAGTGAGCGGATGTGGAAAGGTAATTCCTCAATAAACATTTTTTTTAAAACTTCCTTTGATGCAGAAAGGAGCAAATGGGAGATGTTCCTGCTGACTCAGTCGTCAGGGACAAAAAGAATCTGTCCTATGGCTGCGTGGACAGATGCTGCTTCTGCAGAGGATGCCCTGCAGGTCTCCTTAGATGCTTTTAACGCTTGAGGAGAGAGAAGGATTCGAGAGGGTCTGTGTTTCTGAAGTGGGTAAGAGTACTTACGAAGTGGCGAAGACTCACCTCTTGTGACAGAGGCCTAAGAACAAGCTTAGGTTGGCAGTTTTGCACCCTCAGCCAATGCAAAGTCTCTGCTGTGGGGAAATAGAAATAACCTTTTGTCTTTCGGGAGAAGGCGGATGAGAGAACTCGGGAAGACTCGGAGCATCAGCATGAGGGTCATATACCCCACTTACATGGTGGACATTTGGCCAGCTGCATGCTGGCCATATACCCTGGCTTATCTGAGATACTCCTCAGTATACTTCTTGTGTGGCTGAAAATATTGACAACTCCTTCTATCCTCAGAGAGCATTTGTCTTGGATGGTCACTTACGTTAGCAAACTGTTACATACCAAACTATGTACTGTGTTACTACAGTGACCTGACACTAGTTCCCATAGGTTTCCATGAGTTCCAGAAACAGGCAAGGCTTTGTTGGAATGTGTCTATAAAAGGTGAAAGGACACAATGGGTTGGCAAGAATGATAGGGGACAAAAAGAGAGGGGGAAGTAAAACAATAAAAACAAATTATATTTGAAAATACCACAATAACTTTGTAGATCAATTTTAATAAAAACTCTGTATTCCTCTCAACCTCGGAGGAAAGAACAAAAGCCATATGAAATTCACTCATACAGAAAGTCTTCCATAAAGAAATGAAAGAATTAGAAAATTTTAAAAGGGTGTTACTGATCTCCATGAATTGTGTTTCAATTGTCTGTTTTTTTGTGTGCTAGAGTGCTTTTGTGTGTACATATAGTCTTAAAGTGTTCTTAATAAGAACACTCCTCAGATGCTATGATGAAAGATGGCATAAATGAAGACATGCAGATGGGAAAACACTGAATGTAAATCCTCTCTGATATATATGGTGCATAATTTGTGACCTTAATTAGAACACTATGGCTGATATCTTTTAGTTGTGATGTGGTGTGTGTTAAATTGACTAACACACTTTGAGGGATATTTATTTAATCGTTGTATTTTCTGACTTCTCTGGGCTACATTATATCTTTATTAAAAAGTGTTTATGTAGCCACAAGCTATGTTATGTGTCTGTTCTTTGTAGTTAAAACTTAATCATGATTGAGATTGTGGCTGTGTGTTCTAAAGCATCATTTCTCCTCAGGTGGGCATCACTGATACTCAGAGAACAATAGAGTTTAACGTTCACATTGGAGATGTGGTGTTTTTTCCTATTGGGACCCAGCATTACATCAAGAACACATGTGACGAGGATTTGCTCTTTGTTCTTGCCTTCAGCACTGGAGATCAAGTAAGAACAAGATAGTCATCAGTAATCTGCTAGGCCATATATCTGGATGAAGAAGGCCTTAATAAGAATGTGTTCAATGAAGGGGCAGATGAGTAAGCTAGTTAAAAATGATGTACGGAGAGAAAGAGAATAAAGCAGTTTTCTATTAACTTGCTTCTGAATTCTCTGAGCCTTGATCCACCAGACTAGTATATAGAGGTCCATGAAATCATTGCAATTACAGTGATATTAGGAAATGCGATCAACATTTGTTGGTGAATTGTTTCCTAATATCAGTCCTCAGGAATGGATAGGCACGCTCACGTGAAGCAGAGATTATCATTCGGCTGGGAGAAGCTGGTGTTACCATAGAGTGCCAGGAACATTTATTTACCTGGCTGTAAGGCTCATCTCATCATACAGCTCTCAGTACAGAACCATGAGAAGTCTTTTCACTAGTTCTGGTTCACAGGGAGAGTGTGTATGTCTTAGCAGGACTGATTCCTTCTAAGGAAGGCTTGAGGTATCTTAGCTCATTTTTCCATCATGCTTTTCTTCTTAAAACTGAAAGGTGAGTTCCCCACAGCCAGGGAAGACTGGCTGGCGTTCAGTCACCTTGTGCAGGAGGCATGAGTGAAGTTAGGTAGCCACATCCCAAACCATATTGCCAGTGCTTGGCAGTACCCAGGCCTCTGCAGTATTCTGAGCAGTGTGGTGACACAGTTCTTGTTTTACATCATCAGGTACAAACTCTTGACATGGACGATTATCTCCAGGCCACCTCAGACCATATTTTGGCCCAGCTTTTCTTCAGAAAGCAAAGCGAGTTTAAGAAGATTCCCAAATTTACAGAAGACCAGGCCATCAACCAGCCGTAAATTACTAAAGAGTGCATGTCTAGTGTTCATTGTCAGTGGTTGATAAAGAAAGGGCCCTGGCTGAGAAACTGGGGCTTGTTACAAAACCACAAGGGCAAATGAGCCCTAGGCTTACCAATGTGGGCATCTGAGCATGGAAAGTCTTGTCAATGGAACAGTCCAGGTTCAGGTGTCTGGGTCATTTTAATGCATACATTATATATACATATATACATATATATATATATATCTTGTTACTTTAAATGTATTGTGTAAGCATTTGTTTTGATAGATATAGGCAAAATTTAACTACTCAAGTATTATTCATTATTCATCACTGTGGGAGTCAGAAGAGAGACTGGTTTATATATGCACATTTTGAGGCACTGTAATTCATTCAACCTGTCTGAGGAGTTTAGCGCCATGCCTTAAACTGGAGATCCTCAGTCCTTTTTAGCAGAAGAGAGTTTTGATAATGTCAGCATTTTCAGAAATTTAGCTATACTAGTAATTGTATACTTACTTTATATTACCATGGAAGCTATTTAATGACAAAACAATTACGAACTAAGTACCATCTTTGAATGTATTTATATTTTGTTGGTAACCTCACCATCTGTTTCCATTTGAGAAAATTTTCCCAATGGTTGAGAATTGTCTGTTAGTCTGATGCTGGTGTTGGCTGTGTATAAAGAGTCGCGGACACCTTATCATCTCTCTGAAGCTGGTTGGGGCTGGTGCCCTCTTCAGTTATTGAAATAAAAAGAATCAGTTTACAGATATGAACTGTATTTTATCTGTACTTTAATTTTGTTCATAATGTATTTCACAGGCATTTGACACACTGGTAGCATGCTAGTCACCACCCTACTGAGCTACCCATATAAAATTCTTAAGGAGACCGAACTGGTTTTAGTCATTACCCTAACACCTAAGGCAATTTAAAAAAAGGCTCAGACTGTTTATTTTGTTTTTCTGAGCTACAAAGAATGTGGTCTTTCTCTCTCTCTTTGTCTCTTTGTCTTTCTTCCTGTCTGCTTCTCTCTTCATTTGAATAGACATTTCTGTTGATTACTAGGGCAGGAGAATATAGTGAGAACTTTTGAACAGGGGTAGGTGGCCACCTAAACAAAGAGCTTTGGGACTATAATGACAGCATGCCTCTGCTCTCGGCTATTTGCTAGTTCATTCATCGATAAAAGCTAAGCATTATGGATGTTAGTGAGACAACGTTAATTAAATTATCTCTGCCTCAAGGAGTACATAATCTATTGAGATAAGCATAAAAGCAGACAATACAAGACATGCCAACCTTGATACGGCAGCTGTTCGCCGTGAGAGGTGATAAACGTGCACACACAAACCATATAGACATGCACATTTATGCATAAGTGAAACATTGAACCCAGCTCTGGGGAGCCAAAGGGTGTCAAGGATGGAGGTGCCAAGATTTCCTGGAGTAGATTTGAGTGAAGATGAACAGTTAACCACAACATTAAGAGGAAAGCTCTTCTGTATTGCAGGTTGAAGGAGTCATGGAAGTACGAGAAAGCAGTTCACCTCAAGTGATGAGAGATGGGTAAGAACAGGGAGGGTCTAGACATGAAGATGCCAGTATTCTTTTAGAGCTTCATTACTATGCTTTTCCTTACTGCCTTTTCCTACCTGAGATCAGAGCTTGGCAGCAATGAGAGGTTTAATGGTGTTTGCAGCGGGATGTAAAGTTGAAAGGATTCAGCACGAAGGAAATGGCACATGGAAGAGGATGTCCAAATAGATGTATTGATTTAGTCGTCAGTAATGACCGACTTACCTCTGGGGCTGTTTCTCTCCGATCAAAATCTCGAAACTGTTACAGTGGCTCTTTTTACTGACAAAGTCTGAGGGTCATAAAGGCAGAAAACAATTTGTGTATGTAGGTTTTATCTGCACATTTTACCCTCTAATTAAAAAAAGCATACACTTACTATAAGTTTGTTTATAATCCTTTTTTTTTTTTTTGTACTAGGAAAGACTATATCAGATTATTATGTGGTCATTAAATAAAAGTTTTTGTTTATCATTTTGTCTTTTTAATTTTGAATATAATCTATTATTAGAGTGTTATGTGTTTGAAGTATTACTGTCTTCTCTTTAGGTATCTTTGAAATAAGTTTTATTATCTCCTAAGGAATGTATGTCATAGTTTTGAAACTTTGTAGGTTTCCTGACAACAATATATTTGACATTTTTCTTAGGAATCCACTCAGTTATCAATCTTTAAAAGAAAAAAAAATCCTAAAATACAAATTAGCTAATGAAAAATTCCATTGGCATATGTCTTAGTTAGGGCTTTCTTTTTTTTTTTTTTTTCTTGTGAAGAAACACCATGACCACAGCAACTCCTAAAGAAAATGGGCCTTGCTTACAGTTCAGAAGTTTAGGCCATTATGGTCATGGTAGGAAGCACAGCAGCGTGTAGGCAGGCTTGGTGCAGGAGAAGGGGCTGAGAGCTCTATATCTGGATCCACAGGCAATGGGAAATGAATTGAGACACATTTCCTCCAACAATATCACACCCGCTCTAACAAGGCCATCCCTCCTAATCAGGCCACTCCCTGGGAGACTTCGGAGCCATCGGCTTTCAAACCACTTAGCATATTATTGCCACATTGTCTTAACTCTCCTAATATCAAACTTGTTTTTCCTACTTTGAGGTATTTTGGTGGTGTTGTTTTGTGTTGGATCTTGAACTCAGGGCCTTGCATATGCTAGGCAAGCACTGTACTGCTGAGGTACAACCGCAACCAACCCGGGAGAAGTTAACACCGATTGTTCCTCTAAGCCACTTTGTTCTCCATTTACTTCATCCATTACTATGTAAGTGCTGGGCTGGGCTGATAGTTCCCTTAGGAAAGTGTTTGACTAGCAAGCATGAGGACGGTAACAAAGGTAGGAGTGGTGTCATATGCTTGTAGTCCCTTGGAAGTGTTTGAGACAGGCAAATTGCAGGGCCTTTTGGCAAGCCTGGCTCAACTACTGGAAAATTCTAAGCATGAGAGAGACCCTGTTTAAAAAAAAAACAAACAAAAAAAAACATGAAAAAGAAGTGGATGGCCCTTGAGGAATGACTGAGGTCCTCTGATCTTCACAAACACACATGAGTGCACACTCACACACACAAATCCTGAAGATTTAGGCCTTTTGGTGAGGAAATGTTATTTCTTATCAGATTAATATATAGATCAGTGAGTTGTTCAGACCGATTAATGACACCATACAGGCAAAACCAAGAGTTTTTCTGAAAACCTGCCTTAAAACTGCACTCCACCTGGCCATTTTTATCACAAACATTCTATGATCTGGCCATATTTGGCTTCTTTGAATATGAAATTCCTTAAGTGCTAAAAAAAAATTAAAGATGTTTCTAAATAGCAGCCTTGGATGATGGAGTAAAATGATCTTAGTTCCTGTAGCACTTTGGGCGTCGGGGAAAAGCCCAGATTGCTCCATGCTGCTTCTGATAGAAGGTAGCTGCAAAAAGTCCCAGTTGCTCATCTCTTCCTATCCTGGAGTAATCAATGGCTTTCAATCACCAGACTGATCTGGGACAGGGAAATAGGTAGTATTGCCATATTACTTGATTCTGTATGGCTATACTCTGCCAGTGGTTTTAAAATGAGCCAGTAGTGTAGGATTTTCACTTAAAAAACAAAACAAAACAAAAACAAAAACAAGAAAAATGCACCCCTTTATCTTCCTTTTTCAGACAGAGTCTTACTACCCTGCCCAGGGTAGCCTGGGACTTTAAATCCTGCCTCAGCCTTCTGAATGCTAGCATTATAGGAGTGAGCCACCGCGCCATTCTGAATGTCAGCTACTAACAGTTGAAAGTAGTGTCTTCTCCATACTTTCTATTAACTGTAATTTTTGGGAAACTGGCTTAATCCTCTGAAGGGAAAAATAGGGTAAACCTGGAGAATCCAAGAGAGAGTAATTGGATGCTTAAAGAAAATTGTGTGTGTGTGTGTGTGTGTGTGCACTCATGCAGGTGTGTAATTTTTTTCTTCATACTTAAATTGGAACTATTCATAGAAAAACATACTGTAGAATTATGGTATAGAAGAGCTGGTAGAAATCACAAATCATGTAGTCCCATCATTTTAATTTGCAGAAATGGAAACTGATGCCTAACCTCTCTGGGCTATTTTTAACCAAAGGGTGCTTGGCGTTCCTCTCTTCAAGGGTGTGGAAGAGTCTTTCACACAGAGCAGACCACTGTACTGGAAAATGCACCATCTCCGGTGGGCGAAAGAGAGTCTATCACCTGCAAAGTGGCCAGCCCACACCAGTACCACCTGCTTGCTGGGAAGCCAGCGTTCTGAGATGTTGGAACAGCTCCCTGTTAAAAATGATAGTCATAGTGTCTTCAGACCACAAGTCATGTTCTTGTCTAGTGAAGCACTCAATCTTACTTTAAAAGTTATTGTTGGCTTTTAAAGCTGTAATAACACACAACACAAAACTTGCCATTTAACCCATACAGTTCGTTGACACTGAGAACATTCACAATTTGGTGCACCTATCACCAAATTCATTTCCAAAACCTTCCACCTCCCCCTAGACAGAAACTCTACGCCCATTGGACAGCAACTCTGCCCTGCCCCTTCTATCCCCAGTGTAGTGTACTTCGTATTTATTCTGGCTCATAAACATTGACCCACTTACAGAGGACCTCTTATGAAAGGAGCCACAGACACAAACTGTTGCTTAATTTCATTATTTGCTCATTTAAAAAGCTTTGCCTGGCTGCCTCCTGGTTCTAGGATTATATAGGACACATACACAGATGGGGCACCAGAGAATTTATGCTTTAAATGACTTACGCATAGACAATAGCTTCCGTTTCTCTCCTTTCTCCATTCTTGTACTTTCATGAACTCAGCTCTTTTTATATTATGAGTATTCAAAAATATTTGTCTATTCAGATTTTATTAGATGCCAACAAATATTGGAAAGTGACACAGGTGAACCCACAGTAATGCTTTGACATTTCTGTGATGTCTATGCCGGCATCTCGCTCATTCTTTAGTGCTCAAGATTTTCATAAAGCTCAGAACATTACCCTGCCCTCACATGCTTCAGTGGGGAGCTTCATTCTAGTACCTGAAATTTGAAAATGCAATTGAGATTGTTTGAATTCTGCTCTCTCTCTCTCTCTCTCTCTCTCTCTCTCTCTATTTTTTTTTCTCCCTGACACAAAGAACCTAAACAGGTGTCTTTCATATCTTTTATCTTGATGGTGTACTTCTGGACTGGATCCTACTTGGCAATAACTGTAATGCTTTCCTATTATAGCCTGTGTGTTCTGATGACTGGACTCGGGAGGCAGAATGACACATGCTGAGGGGAGGAAATGAACACATCTGGGTCACGGGAATAGTGTCCCTTGTTGCTTTACCAACTGCATGTCAGCCTGAGGACTCAGCACAAATTCAAAGGCCCCACTTTTCATGCTGTGCCACGGTTAAGTTTTTAAAACTTAACATTTTAAAAACATTCACCCAATGCGTTTAAGGCTAGTCTTCACTTTCTCTTCTGTTAGCTTCAGTGTATTTGGTTTTACGTGGAGGACTTGGGTTTCGTGCAGGGTGCCAGATATGGATTTATCTGCGTTCTTCTACATGCTGACATCCAATCAGAGCAGCAACATTTGTTGAAGATGCTTTTTTTATTCCAGTGTG